TTATTTTTGTCGCAAAAAAATTTATTTATTAAACAATTATTATTAAAAATATTATTATTTAATAACCTTGGTCACACTGTACCATTTGTCATTCAATCGAATGTAAATATTTTTTCGGAATGCAAAGGGTATTTATGCCCTCAGCCATATGGATAGAGAGGGTATATATCATTTGATACGGCCAAAACGTGCCTCATCGAATTTTAGACCCTAGGTCTCTTTGGACCAAATCAGTTTCAGGACATTTGGAGTGGATCAAGCGATGTCCTTCCGTTCGTCCGTCTGCCTGGTTGGTTGGCTGGCTGGTGCGCACGATAACTCTCGAAGAGAGTATCCGATTTGAATCAAACTTGGTACAGCGTAATATTATTGTCAAACTTAGATCAAGTTAGGACATGGGCGATATAGGTCCACTCCTTCTAATACCTCCCCCACAAAATGTCAACATTTTCAAAGAAAATAATTTACTGCACAGAAAGAAAAAGGATAGTCCGATTTAGCTCCAACTTTGCTAATCCTAATATTTGCATCAGTGCTAGGTCAGGAGCGAAAATGGACAATATCGGTCCACTACATCATGTACCTCCCCCACAAAGGGTCAAAATTTTGAATAATTATAACTCTCATAAAATGGGATGTATGTGTCCGATAGTCTTCAAATTATGCACATCATAATATTTTGATTTACCCGAGGTCTGGTGTGAAAATGGAATATATCGGTCCACTCCTTCTGGTACCTCCCCCACAAAAGGTCAAACTCTTAAGTATCCATGAAGCTCATAAAACGCGAAATTAATATCCGATTCCATTCAGACTTGGCAAATCTCAAAATTTCTATCAGCACAAGATCTGTCATAAAGATGGTAGAGATCGGACCATTTCTACTGGTTTTTATTAGCATTTGGTTCTAAATATTGCTGAATCTTTTCCAAACATTTGGTTTAAATTAAAATATTTCTTCAAATGGCGCCCAACGTTACAAAAACCCTTGAACTAACTATTTTGTTTAATTTTTCACACTTCCGATCAATATATCAGGGCATTAGTCCAATGATTTACGTTTCAAGTACCAAAGATAAAATTGAACCACTTAAAGCATAGGGAGTGGTTTCTGGACGACCTTGCTCTCTGTCATATTCTACATGGACAAGGTCGACTTCCAAGAATTCCAATTGAAATTGCGTTTCAAGCAGCACCCATACTTGTACAACAACCTCCCTGCAAAATTATAAAACCTTACCTTCTTGGAAAGTAATCAAGTTCTCGCTGGGTGCAGCAAATAGTCCATTTTATGACTACCATGATCACGATCTTTTATCACATCAAACTCTGGACCAATAAAAAAGCAAGTCCAAGTATGTTGGAAATTACCAAGAACACTTGTCGTGTACAACTTTTCAAAGCCATAACAATGAAAAAAAAACTTAGTTAATAGCTACTAGATTTTTTTCTAATTATTTTCAAAGAATGTAGAATAATATATTCAAGTTTTACTGCTTAAAGAATGTTTTTGTTTTTTTTTTTGTTTTCCTTAAGCCATTGAAGATCATTAAACTTGTCAAACGAACTTGGGGCTTGGCAACAAGTGCATGGCACAAAAAAAGACTAATAAATCAATTAACCCTCTAACATGGACTATGGACTTTGGGGGGTATTTTACACTACATTTAAACCTCACAGCAGCAATTTTTTGGAACCGACTGGAGTTATGATTATCGTCAGCCTTATATCTAGTTTAGTAAAGGAAAAGTGTGAAATCAATAACCAAAAATAGGCAAAGATATTTCCATAATTTCCTTAAACCTCAAGTGGCGCCCAACGTTGTAGAGAGTTAATCAATTTATTACTAATAGATCGTTAAGCTTGTTGACAATTAGGTCTTATTAGTTTCAAACCAATGACAGTTGGGTTTTTGCAGTTTGGAAACAACGCTGGAGAGAGTATTTGAACTAAGTCAGTCAGAATCGTTCTTTGAGGTGGTACTAAAATCGAGTGATGTTATTACCAAACGAACAGTGAAAAAAATTAAAATGAATAAATGTATGAGTTGTTCAACTACTACTGATTAACAAACTAGTTCAGTGAGAGGGGTAAATTAAGGGAGCAAACCTCCTTTTTCTCCGATGAGATAATTAATTTCATTTAGCAGGGTTTTCAAAGTATGCATTACAATTGTAAATAGATCTTCGAAAAACTTGCTCGAATTTGAACAAATGCTGAAATTTACTTGATTTCGATCGGGAACGCTCTTGGGAGCAGAAAAACGTCGAGCAAACTCAATTATGTGATGGCGTTCGAATAGGAGTGAAAATTCGTTCCGAGCACTCTTTTTGTGCCACACCTCTTCCCGTACAAAAAAAAAACTCCCACCCTTCGAGCAAGTTTTGAGTAAAAACTAGCAAATCTCTCAATTGCTGCATTTAATTTCAGTAATCATCGTTTCATCTTCCTAAAAGTGAAAAATAAAGTGGCGCCCAATGTGGCATATGTATGAACAAACTATTAATTACTCACGAGCTAACTTACCTCAATTACTTTTGATGTTCCTTACAACCAGGATGATAGATTGGTGTCCAGTAAATAAATTTGGTTGGTGGTACAGATTTAAATTTACTCAGAACAACGAAGCCGTAACATTAGTTTTAGAAAAAAGGCTTAATATGTGTCCAAGGTCTGAAAAAGAGAGTCTGTCACATGTTTTTCGCAAGCCATGTACGAAAGTGGCGCCCAACGTATTTTGTTGATAAAATAAACCTAGAGGAAAAAAAGACCTCCCTGGGGGTTTGAAAACTTTAAGTACAACATGGAAAACCCCTAGACTCGTGTTGTGTAGAAATTCGAGGAGATTGTAGCAATTTAATAAAATAATTAGCCCTGAAGTAAAGTCAAACTGACAAATAACCTCAATTTTTTCTCAGCGGAAATTGCTTGTGAAATGCCTTTTTTAGCAGCGAAAAATCCCTCACATCTATTTCTCACAGTTTCTTACATGACCTTCCAAATTTGTCAAGATTCTACCGAATATAGGTAGCTCTAGATCTGGAAACACTAGCATTTCGTAAGGTTTGCCCAAAATCTGTCTAATTATTCAAGAAGTACATCGAGTATTGGGAATGTGTAATGCATCCGTCCATAAATTTTGTGGGCCTTATACAACCCCCTGGCTGAAATGCAGTTAATAACCAAGCCTGAGTTTAAATTAGTTTTTCATATTCATGGCTGTATCTATGTTGTGCTGTTATTGTATTTTACATGAAACCACTTTTTGCAGAATAATTTATACAGAACTTTAAATTAGATTTATTTTTTTTGTTAAGACAACAGCAACAATGCAAGGCCAAGTCTCAAGACAGTTCGAATGTTGAGGTTAAAGTTTGGCTTAGTTGTTGTTGTTTTTTCACATATGTGTTGCAGAAAAAAAAACAAAAACAAACTTGGATTGCTTGACTCAATCTGTTGGAATACTTGAATTATTTTGAGTTTTTTGCCCCAACTGCTGATGACAGACAGGCAGGCAGGCAGTCAGTCAGGTCCCAAGTTTGCCATTAAATTAATATAATCTGTCTTATGGAAGGCCTTCTTCTTCTTCGTCTTTTTCGGTTTTTTATGTGGCATGACATCTTCTTTTTGTGGGTTTGTGGGTAAATGTATCTTCTCCCCACCCTCCTCCTTCTCCCCGGTGTGGCCGTAATTAACCCTAACAACAATTGTCTGTGAGGCATACGTTTGCAACAACAACAACGATATTATAATAACAATAATAAAGATCATCACAAATCTACTACAACAATAATAAATTTTTGCAAATACGAAAATACACACACAATAAAAGTGAATACTTGAATAAATACGAATATACGAAAGATCATCTGTCTGCCTGCCTCTGACTGTCATTTGAAATATACAATGGGAAAATGGAGCGCAACTGAATCATCCAAAAAACAATAATAAAAAAATAACAACAAAAATAAATATGAATAAGAAACTGTTTTGTGTTTACAATTGGGTTGAGACTTAAAATGATTTCAATCAAAACCCATCATTGCTCCTGATGAGTCTGAAAATTCAAGGATCCCTTTGGAATATTTAAATATATTCGAGTAAAGAAATAATCCAGAGTGGAAAAATTCTCTAAATTTTTTGTTTGGTTTTGTTAAGGCAACAAGAATATGTTTATGATTTTTATTTATTAATGAAATTTTTGGGGATCCAAGTAAGAAATACCCTCCACCATTTGGAACGAATTTGGTAATTTTCAAAAAAATAAAATCCGTTAAAAATTCTGCACAGACAATTTTCTGCCTGAGGCTGCAGTATCCTTTACGAACTTCAAATATCAAATTTGAAACAATTCCGGTGAATAAAGTCGATGAAATCATCAAAATACCGAATATCGGGAGGTACCGTTATATGGGGGCTATACGAAGACGTGGGCCTACATGGCCCATTTTCAATACCAAAAGTCCATAATATACATTTGAGTAAAATTTTATCAATCTACTTAATTTCGTTCGGAAGCTAGTGTGATTTCCACAGACGCATAGACGGACAGATGGACGGATATTTCTAAATCGGCATCGAATTTTATGCCGATCAAGAATATGTATACTTTGTGGGTTCTAAAATTTATATTTCGAAGTTTTACAAACGGAATGACAAACTTAATATACCCTCCATACTATGGTGGAGGGTATAAAAAGAACGCCAGGGAGATACTATCACACAGCCTTCAGTATGCGGCGCTCTTCATAAAAATCTCCCAAATGTTGTTTTAATAACCAAACAATTCCTAAATCACCCAATCAATATTTAAAATAGCCAAACCACTTCGAAATTATAAACATTTTCAAATAAGGCAAAATATATTCAAATCATTTTATTTTTTAAATCCTTTATCTACTAATAAAAATTTCATATATCCTCTTATGGTAACATAAGAACATTTTTTATAAACATGTTTTTTAATAATAAATTTCACTTATTTTTTATTTTTATTCCAGCCAAACGAATCCGGTTTTGTATTATTGGGCGATCTCTCAGTGGAAACATCAACCGATTTGGACTACGATGATTTCTCCATGTGTCCACCCTCGCCATGTGATGTTGAGTTTGTTAATGCTAATATTGTGATTGATGGTAAATCAAGTATTCGACAGAAACCCAAAGATGCAACGGTGAGTAAAATAAGAAAATATTATGAAAATATGGTATTGAAATTAAAAAAAAAAAACATCTTCAAAGTCTAAAGAACCTTCAGAAAATGCTCATTGGAAAATCGGAGAGATACTTTTAGGTGGCTGAATAATTTGGCCTGTAACCCCCAATGTGTGACCAGTTTCACTAATCATAGCTTCATTTTCGTATGTATGGACAAAACATTAACTCCCACATTTCACGATTGAATTTAAATACTTTTGATGTTAATGGATTTGGATAATGGATAATGGATTTATGTCCAACAAATAAAATTTGGTGATGTTACAGAATTTAGTTTATCTGTAGTATTATCCAAGTGGCGCCCAATGAAGTCATAATAACGGATTTGGGCAAAATGCTCAATATGTGCCCAATTATTAGAAAACAGCATTTCTTACATGTCTCCTTGGGTATTATTTTTTTTTCATAACATATATGACAGTGGCGCCCAACGTATATTCTTTATAAAAGAAACTGGGAGAAACAAATACCTTCAAGGGGAGGTTTCAAACTTTGCGTAAAGCCACGTTTATGCTACAACTTTTTGTATGGTTTATTCCACTTTGAGAGGATCTATTTGAAGTATAATGGATATGACAATTTTAATCAAAATCTCAATTATATGTAAACTTACTGTACTATAGTATAATTATGGTATTGAAATAAGAACCAGCTTCTAATATAATAAACAATAAAAGGAGAATTAACCTTAGCTGAGATGGAGTATCTTTTCTCTCATTTTGTGTGGTCAATTTGCGTCTCAAACTAATTTTGCACATTTGTTTGGTGCAATTGTATAATTTATTTTCCTATTTAAAAATCAAAAAAACAATAACCCAGTTATTTCCTATCAAACCATATGACAAAATTTTAAACGGGGCAAAAGATAAGATTCAATATACTTTTCACATGTTAACGCTTAAATTCTATTGCGATTATTATTTTCAATTAATTCGCAAGTGTTTTTTATTTTTGTTTTTTGATAGGCCAGAGATAAGTGTCATTGAAATTCTAACATTTCAACCCGCCCTCAAAATTTAATACCCCAACCAACCAACCAACCAGTTAGCCAGCCCACCAACGCATGCTGACTGGCGGCTGACATTAAATTCTATTCTATTGACAGACTTTCAAAACAAACATTACCAAATATGTTTTTTCCATATTCTGAATTCGCATTCATTCATTCATTCAAACTTACTTTCGTTAAAGTTCTTTTTTGTATTTTTTTTGTTTTGTTTTGAGCTCGTGACTGACATTTGTGCTTTGTTGGAATGGCAAAACGATATTCATCAAGAAGAAAATCCCATAATAACCTTATAAAGAGTTTTTAATACTTGACAACTAATACCATGTTCCCACTGGGCCTTTTTAAAAGAGGCGCGTTAAAACCTTTGTTGATTGCAATGACTGGAGAATAAAGAAAACTGCGTTTTCTACACGTTTCTATTCGTTCTCTAATTTCGGTAATAAACGAAATTTGTCGAAAAGCTAACGATGAGATCACAGTAGTCGCAAAGACCTACCGGTAGATGCCAATATTGTCAACCTTAACTTCTTTTATTTCCACATTTTCCAAAAATTCGCACATATCTCATATACAGGGTGAGTTGAAAAAACTGCAACCAACTTCAGACTGCTGTCATTTCCAAGCCACTCGTCTGACAGCTGTTAAAATTTTTCCAGTGACAGCTCGTTATATTGTTTACAAGCGCACAAGAGCATTTTGGTGAGAATTTTCCAGAAAAAAAGTTTTTCGTGATGGAATTCAAGTGTGATAGTGTGATTTCTTTACATTTGGCTGGAAAACCTCAAGTGGCTATCGTTAGAGCACTCCAGCATTTAAATGTGAATTAATCTCTTATTCCCGGCGTCAAGGAAGTGGACGGAAGAAAACAGCAACTTTAGACGAATGGTTCGAAAAGTGAAGAAGCGACTTGCTCGAAAACCGCGTCGCAGTGGCCAAAAATTTCTCGTGAGCTGAACATATCTTAATATTCCATTTGGCAAATATTGGAAAATATGCTCGGGGTAAAGCCATTGAAATTCCAAAAAGTGCAAGAACTTACACCGCAATGGAAAGAAAATAGAGTCAAAATAGCTAAAGATTTGCTTTGCTTGGCCGAAAGTTGTTAACTGCCGAATTTGGTTTTCTCCGAGCAGAGAAAACATTCATTGTCCAGCAGTTTGGAAACAAGCAAAACGATCGTGTTTACTTGCCAAACAGGTCAGCTGAAAATGTGAACCTTCGGTTGGCCACCAGAACTCAAGCACTGGTCATGGTGATTGTGCGGGCCGCCATAACATCCGATGGTCGCTCTCCGCTCGTATTAATCGACCGTGGCATCAGAATAAATGCCGAATATTATCGCGAAGATATTCTGGAGGGTGGATTAAAGCCTTGGGCACGCAAACATTTTGGTCGCAGACCTTGGACATTCCAACATTACTCAGCCCGCTCCAACCCAGAATGGTTACAAAATGAGGTTCCTCGCTTCATTTCCAGCGCACAATGGCCACCAAAATCTGCGGATACCAATCCGTTGGAATATTGTGTCTGGAGGATTTCGGAATGAAAGGTTTGCACTAAAAAAATACCAAAGTGTCGATCACCTCAAGCAAGCGCTTCGCCAAGAATGGCCCAAAATAACGCAGAGTAACATTCGGGCAGCGGTTACGGTTTCATTGGCCGTTTGAAGGCCATAATTCGTGCTAAAGTTGACCAATTCGAACAAATCTAAACTTATTCTAAAATTTGTTGCTATTTCCGACAATTGTTGCTTTCATTCAATAAAATTTAAAAAAAAATGTTAAAATTATGGCGTTTGACATTGTTGCAGTTTTTTTATCTCACCCTGTGAAGTATATGAAGTAGTCGATATAGTCCAAATCTGGCACGTTGTAATATTTTTATCAGTCTTAGGTCAGATAGGAATTGGTCAATATTGGTCAACTACTTCGGAACCTCCGCCATAGAGGGTCAACAGTTTGAATAATCACAACTCAAGGCTGGGGGTGTACATCTGTCGGAAAAATCGACTGATAATACTTTACTTGTTTTTAAAGAGATTATTGAAATGTTTCTCAAGCAGTGGTCACCATAAAAGCCGGTCACCTTACACATAGCATGCCATTTTTTTTAATGTTCGCTATAAACTCCTAACCCAATTTTAACACACACACACATACACTTTGTGACAATTGTCAAAATGTTGTGGTAACATCTGTCTGTCCGACAGACAGATACCACACAATGGGGTGATTACACCTTTAGTGCGTGAACTGGGTTCATTATCATTTAACACATGCCCGCCCGGCTCTTGGCCTGTCCCATTGTTTTGAAAATAACAAAAAAAAAACTGAAATTTGCATAAACTAACCTACCTCTTCTCACCTATTTCCACAAAAGGGAATGATGTGTTTCATTTTTTTTAAATATTACACAACATATAAAAAATAAAACTAGGTGCAAAAAAAATAAATAAACAAAACAAATATGTAAGGCATTGTTTTAAAATTCCAACAAGGTTTTCTCTACAAACACGTATCAATGGAAATTAGGTTGAGCAGCTTAGCGTGCCATGCTCTCATGTTATCCAAGTATCGATTGAGAATTTGTAAAGATTTTTAAATACGGGTTATTTTAAACATTTAATAACTGAATTGGGATTGGAGTCTGCAAGGAACCCCAAAGGATTTTTTTTTATAAAAATTGCATTTTTTTACAAATTATTAATATTTCTTCATTTCTTTCTTTACAGTTCCGTGTACAATTTAATGATACTCTCACATCAACATTTGAATATCCCTCGGAAGCCTCCCTGATTGTGGATGATTCATTTTCTTCGGTATCTGGAGAAACGGAATTAAACCAAACATTTCAGAATTTAGTTTTAGAGAATTCCATACCCTTGCATCATGTTGCCGATGAGATTATTCAACTGCCAACAACAAACGAAAGTACGAATTCACCTGCCAATACAACAGCCACCAAAAATATTTTAGGCAATTTACCACTAGGTGAGTTTTGAAAGTTTCCATTCTGGGTCTTAAGTTTTTGTGTGTTTTTTTTATTTTTGCATTGGTGGTGTTGTGCTGTTGCCATAATTCTTCAGCATTATTGTTTTTTATTTTATTTTTCATACTCTTTGGTTTTGGTTGTCTTATCTGTTTTTCTTTCGTTTTTTGTTTTGTATTTTTGGTATAAGGTTTTTTTTTGGGTTTACTTTTACTTCCACTACAACCTTCTAATGGCCATTTGTTTCCTAATACACACACACATAATAACTTTATTGTTTTCTTACTACACCAACAAGAACAACAACATGTAGTTTAAAACTTTCTATTTTCTAACCCAACCAACCAACAAGTCCAAGGGCCTTTTAAACGATTTAATACCCCACTAATCATTTGCTTTTTTTTTAAGTACTAACCCACAAAAGGAATACCTTGATGGTAATCTTTCCTTAATCCATAAGATTTTTTGTGCAAACAACAACAACAATAATAATAGATTTTATAAAAACAAAAAACATCCGTAACATACACTCTACTATACTTCCCACAAACAAAATATGTATTCTTTTGTGTTTTATAGCTGTTGTCGAACCAACATTGCCCATCAATTCTTGTCGTGACAATACTAGCCCCAGTTCTACTTTTTGTTGTCAAAATTTTCCAACCTGCCCAACAAAAACGCTTGCAGGCGTTAACACGTTAAAAGACATTTTCAAAATATGTTCCTCAACATTGCGTAAATTTTCCAAGAAATTGAACATAAGGTTCGTTTAATATTTCCCCCCTCACTGAAAATATAAATTGAAAATTTTCAGAATTTCCAAATAACAATCCTCCTCTTTGAGTTTTCTTTTTTGTTTTGAAATATTAAATCGCTACTTACATCATTTTTTGCCATTTTCACAATCATGATCATTGTATCAGATAAAGCATTTGAAATAGGGACTCGCAGATTAGGTTTCGTTGAAGAAAATCAAAATTGGAAAGGCTCAATTCTATTAAACGGACAATAATATGGATTTCTAAACTCAAAAATTTCTAGAATTTAAAGTTTGATTTTATAAATGTTAATAAAAAACATGTATCACAAATTCTAGTAAGAAATTTAAAATAAGGTCACTCATTGTGTTCTTAAAGATATGAAGATTTTTATAACTCCATCGAAAATTGGATTTAATTAAATATTCAAATTGCAAACTTCTTGTATTGTGGACTCCTGAGGAGTCGATTTTTTCTACTTTTGCATATTGATAACCACTTGTTAGACCTTTTCTAAACTTCAGCGATAAACTATCAACACCATTATGACCCTTCGCTCTCCATGATTTTTTTCTTCTCATTCTGGTTTTTTATCTCAACTTTCCGTCAATTCACAGCAAAATCATATTACATTTCACACGACATGCTCTAAAACCCAAGCAGCACATAAACCAGAGCAACAAATTATCTTTCCCGGTGTTCAAAAAGTTGTAAATTGAGATCCCGCTCCCACCCCCAAAAAGATCATATCCACAAGCAACTGTTGAAATTTGACAAAAGAAAAAACCAAAACAAATCCGAATTTTTACAGATTGCCCAGATTTAGAGAAGGCTACAGCATTAACCATGACGTTGGAGGAACAACCAACACAAGACAATCGAGAGCAAGAACAGCAGCTCCAGGACCAGTGCAACAACAACAATCTGAACAACAGCAGCAGCAACAACAACAACCACATGGAAGAATTGCCACAGCCATTAGAAATGCGAAAATCACGAAAAGATTTAAAATTACCGCTGCTGGAACAACAACACCAAGTGGTGATGAGCCAAAAACCTCCATTGCCAGTGAAAAGCAGCCGGATGAAGACATGGAAACCACCTCCGTCATATTTAAAAGCAAATATAGGCCGCGACAAAACTTTGGTGGAACCAGCTCCAGCACCACCGCCAACAGTTACACCCTTAACCCCACAGCCAGCAATGTCTACACAACAAGACCCCCCCAACATAGTGGCACAGCATCAAGTGATGATCACCCAAACTCAAGATAAACATGATTCAAATGGCAACAGCTTGGAAGATAAACAAATCACAGAAGAAAAACCAAAGGAGAGACCCCGAAAAATGCCACAAATCCTTAGTCATCCTAAGTATGCGTGCTTTTTGCAACCCAATACCGCTGATGCAGAAAGGCCAATGATACAACGTTCCCGGTCCAATGAGTTTCGTCGAAACTTTAATGCCAACCCTGTAACTTTACCAGTTTTTCGTTCCAATTCTTTGAGAAACATAGAGAAGCCATTACCAATGAATTCGGAAAGCAAGAACACAATTACCACTTCAATTTATTTCGATACCAATGTAAATTCATCTAATAACTCGAATCAGACGACTCGTAATGCTAACAATAATGCCACAACTGCAATGATTCTTCCCCCTGATGGCCAAGTAGATGATTTGAAGTCGACCGCCCCTATAAATTTAACCATACATAGGCTGGACAATACCAAAGATATGATTATGGACGAAGACGACGAGTTTTCAGCTTTGAATGAAGGAGAAACATCCCTACAAGCGTCTACTCTATCACTTCCAAGTGCCCATGACCTTAGTGGATTCCAAGAAACCATATCCTGTCCCAACATAACTCAAAGCGATTCTTGCGAACTTTTATTGAACTCAAATTCAATTGTCGACCGTTCTGTTTCTTTACAAAATATCAATTTCTCAAAAAGTGAAGAATCTTTTGTTTCCTCATCCCCAATGGACCAAGACCAGGAGCCATTCCCTATTAAGATAGTAAATCAGAACTATTTTTCATTGCCTAATTTAATACAAACCCCAAAATATATACCCCACAAAGAAGCCAAGGAAGAAACTATGCAAAACCTAATGGAAGAGCCTCTAACTTCTAAGTCAATGGAGAATTTGGGCTTTATTGGCGAAACAATACCTAAAATGTCCTCCAAGTCCTTAGAATATTTAAATTTTCCTTCTGGGCCAACAAGTCGGGATGGCCAAACAGATAGTCCATCCCAACGCCCTCATATCAGGGAATTAATACAAATGTCTGGTGATTCTGTGGACGATGTATATGAAGATGCTCTATGTCTGTCGTTGGACTCTTCTATAAGTAGTGAGAAGACCTCCAAGGAGTGTAGTGAATTCACCAATGATTATTCTATGTCGAGTGCAAATTCCAATGAATATAGCTATGATCTGGTTATAAATGAGATCGCAGCTAAAGATTACAATTTGGAAAACATAAACACATGTCCGACAAGAACTCAATTGGCAAGCCAAGTTGAGATTTCACGTAAAATAATATTAGATTCTTTGAATAGAGGCTTGGATAATACCAAGAATTTGCCGGAAGAAAATAAGGATTTAGCATCTATGGAGTCGGATGTAAAAGAGAATAATGGGAAGAATCAAGATGAAAACCAAAATCCGACACAAGACGATATAACTTCTTATAAAAATATAACTAATGTTTCCAAAAACCTCCCAAATAAAAATTTCGACAGTGTGGATTGTCAAATGCTGGAAAGCAGCATTGTTGCAAAGAGAGAAGTTTCGTCGGGTACAAGTACAGCAAGATCAGAAGAAGAATGTTCTAATCTAGATTCGAATACAAATATTTTTAATGAATCAACAAGTTCAAAGGTTGCTGTATCCAAATCTTCTAAAATTCCTTATAAAACTGATGGCCAGTTAGCAGCTCCACTTGGATTTAATATTTCCAATATTGAATTCTCAAGGTCAGCAGATTCTATTGCGTACCAATACGAACATAAGTATTGTTCTTCAACGAATGAAGATAATCACAGCGCTGATAAAAGTAAATACGAAACCAAAATGAAAGTAAATCTAGGAGAAGATAATCTAAGTCAGGAATCAATGAATAATCACCAAAGAGTTGATGGAAATTCTTCACATTGCTTGGCAGAAATACGTAATACCAAAACCGAAAAGGACAGTCTAAAGAAAATTCCCCAGATTTCCAATGAAATTTTTTCAAATCCCTCGAAAATACCAGATGCAAGCATTGCTCACGACGATGTCTTTAAGCAGAATAAGTCATTTACTTCTGGTCAAAACAAAAATAAACAATTACATATTAAAACAAACGATAAATTCTATAGCAACTTGGCCAAACAAAAGCCCTTCACGGATACAAACAGTTACACCACCTATAGCTTGGCTAGAAAATGCAATCGCAGCAATTCACAGTCTTTTGCTAAAGCTTTGAGTCTTTACGAAAGTTTCAGCGAGAAGTCTTCAAGTTGCAATGTAGTGCGAAAGGAAACAAAAAATGTAGCAGCTATAAATCGATCAGTTAGCATGGTGGAGGGCAGTAGAAATTATGATAGTGAAATAAAAGGAAATTCGAAAAAACTCGATTTCTCGGCATCTAAACAAACTTCCCATACGGATCGCTCTAATTTTAAGGCATTCGGCCCATCATATGAATTGCAAACAGCAACTATTGACAATTCACTCTTGTTGGGTCCCAAAGCAGACTTAAAAGGCAAAAATTTAGTTTCCAATTCCCTATCGAGTGTAGTTTTTGAATCGAAAACCGTCTCGGATAATACAAATTCTTCGTTGTTCGGCTTCAAGGAGATGCCTGAAAGGGCTATGTCCCCCATCTTATTGAATTCAAATAAAAATTATTTTAACATTAGTCCTCGTCCATACAGACGTAATTCTGAACATACATTTAACACTATACACAATACAACAGATTTAAATACAATATCCTTGGATTCAGATTCCTTCCGATACAATACTAATCATTTGAAAATTACTCCCCCAATACAACACGATATGGGTTTGAAGACAAGAACCAATTCTGAAATAGCATTACCACCATCCAGGGCTACGGATAACACCTGCAATACACATTCCATAAACAGTTCTATAAATATTAATACTAACCATGTGCAGCAGCATCAGGTTGAGGTCGACATTCCAAAGGTGCTAACAAATTTTCAGAAATCACAGAATTTTCATACTTTTCTTCCTTCTACTTCTTGTTCTTCTTTTCGTTTTTCAACCACCAAAACAACAACGACCACAACTGTTACCACTACTGCAACCACAACTTCTTCATCCTTTACTTCTTCCACATTTTCCACGACCAATGTTAATGCCATGACTAATACAAATCCAGCGAAATATATGAATCGGCATGGAAACAACGAGATAAGGACAGCAAAAATTCCACCAAAACCAATAGATCAACGTTCGATTGCAAAGGCAAATTCATACGTCAGCCTTAAGACGACGTCGCTAGAGAACAGCAAGAAGCACGACATGACTAAAATGCCAATCTCCAATAATATGACTAGCACCACCACTTCTACTTTTGTTGCCACTAGCCTTAAAGCTTCCTACACCAATTCAGCTTCCAACTCAACTGCAACTACCACAAAATACTGTGCTCCTCCTCTGCGTAGACGTGTGCCTGGCAACACGCTGTATTATGTCTGAAAATTGTAACCATCAAGCGATAAATGTATCTTCTTACTATCAACTACCACCGCCAACCACCTACCTATTTATCTATGTATCTTCTATCTATCTGCCACACCACTACTCTACTTTCTATGTCTATAACAAAAAACAAAATAAATAAAAATCTATGTATGTATGTGTCACTTATCTTTCAAAATAAATTATTTATGAAAATGTATATTTAGGAAACATTGTGTGTAGTTAATAAATAAAAGTATATACATATATGTTTGTAAAAAAATATATACGCTATGTTATGGGTATAGGGTTCATTGATTTATTTGCAATATATATAGGCTTGGTTGTATGATAGTTTTTTGTACACAGTAAAGTATGTCGGTTCCAAAGGTGCTATGTTTTGATTTTACTAAGGAAATTAGTTTTGTAAATGTAATTTGATTCATCCATTATGCTCCTCACCTTCCTGAAACCAATAATCCGCAATCACATGTTTTATGATGAACTTTTTATTAAATCGTCGAATTTAAAGAAATACACCGATTTGTGAGAATGTAGTTTTCCATATGATTCTCCTTTTTTCATTAAATTTTCTATTATTATTTTGTGAATAATATAATATCAACCACAGAAAATTTTATATTTTTTTGGAAGAGAGATGGCTAAAAAAAGTGACTACATTACTTTATCAACACTAGGCTTTTTCATGACAGAGAGCATTATTATGACTCCAATCATCTCTCTTCTCAACCTAAATCCAAACTCTCTCTCATGAATGTCTGACTTGTAAACAAAGTAAAAGTAGGGATCACATATTGTTGTATCGACCATCATCTGCAATATCTATTGCCTTTTAGCACAGTATCAGACGTTGGACAATTTGTTTAAATTTACATGCAAGAATTTTTGTCTTATTGTGTTCTTTAATTTTCTTTATGTTTGGTCCTGTTTTGTTCCCTTTTTGTTAACTAAATATTTTGTAGTTATTTATGCCAAAATATAAATATGTATTCTATGGTACTATATATCCTTTTTTCTTTCTTTAATTCCAGATGTTATCTAAAATCAAAAAACATACATTCACATCTATCTCTATTTCCTCCCCCTCAAATCAACTAAAAACCAAAAACAAAAAACAAATGTTCAATATCAAATATAGATGCTATTGTGCCTAAAACAAATGATCGAAATTCCCCCAAAAAATATTGAAATCGATCTATGCAAATGCCAAAACACTTTACTATCCACATTCCATATGTGAAAAGCGTCAAGTAAAAGGGCCACAAATCACCACCAATTTATTGTTGTTGTGTAGTAGTTAACCAAAAATGCAGTTGCCCGCATAAATTGAATTCGAATACGAATGGTGGTATGACATGGAAACAAAAATGTATTTGCTCAATTTGTTTTTAACTTGCTAAAAAAACGTTATTTTATTATTTATTTATTGTTTGTATGAAAGAATTATTTATTATTATTTTTTTTACTAATAAAAACAAAATTTGATGTAAATCCTCCCATGTAAAACACCAAGAAAGAAAATCCAAAAATTACATATTAACTAAGGTAACTAACATTTAACATGTATTTGCGTGTAATTGTCTATGTTTTTGCAATGTTGTATATAAAATGTATGTGTATTTCAAGGAGAAAGGGGATATTAAGGGTGCTTAAATAATAATTATTTTAAATAATACAAAAAGGAAAAAATATGTCCATCCTTTTGCTAAACTTCAGTTTTAAAAAAATTTCTTTAATTTTTCAGCGAGAAAAGTTTCAAGAAGTTTACTTTGATATTTGCCTTTAATATAACGCATCGCCTTTCTCCTTGCCTATTATCAGCGCTAGCATGTGTTCCATTCAATTTCAAATTGCACCTGTAAAAGTAACCATTCCATCATCTACCTTTGGTATTTCATGGCTATCACCCACTCATCATTTGCATCCAACATTAATTTTCATTTAAATAACATGAAATTGTAAGCTAACTACTAATATATGTTTTATATTATTTTAAAATTTAAAGTTATTGTATTTTTCAAATAATAATGGATTTTTCTAATTTTCTCTCTTTCCATTGATGGTTGGAAATAATTTTTTAGGTTCAGCACCACTTGGTTTCTACACGCCTATGAAAGCACCCATTGATAGAATATTTCAACTTGGTGTAACCCGGGCCCCATCCTTAGAATGTACCACAAATGGTGATAATGTTGGTGATGGTGGCCTATTAAATGGCAAGGCTGGCAGTGATATTGATGGCGAACAAGAACCAGAAAGTCTGCAGTATATAAAACCAGCAGATGATGATCTCAACATAGCCTATAGTGAGAGTACCCAAAAAACCGATTTGTTATATTAGAAATAGAAGAATATAATGCTAATGCCCCTCAAGAAGATAACGCGAATCTTCAAGTTACGTATTTCGATGAGAGGAAGAAGAAAACGCAGGTGCGTTTTGTCTTGGGATACTCTTTTTAAGTGTTAAGGCTTTATATGAGTTTTATATAAACTTTAAACTTTTTGGTTTAATAACGACAGACTGTCAATCCTTTACTCCCCACACACATACACATTTTGCCTCTAACCCCTCCTCCTTTAAATGTATAACATATATATCTGAGAACATTTTTAAAGAAAGAAAAAAAAATGAAATGAAATTGTATTAGTTTATGAGGATTCTTGTAAAAATTCTCAAAAATGTTATTTAATTTTTATTTAAATATTTTTTGTATTATTTTAATCATTATGTTTTATGTGATGTTCTCTTTATAAATCCATGTTTTAAGCAAAAATATATAATATACAATTTGTAATAACAACGGCATACTGGACTTGGAACCCAGAACTTCTCTTTTTGCAAAATTGTATTTCTTTTTGCTTTTTGTTAAGCTAAGAAAGATACATTATCCATGAAAAATCTAATAATAACAAAAAATAGAGCTTAATTTAATCATTTTTGATATACATAATTATTATACATACATAAATTACATAGCATTTTCTATTTTGTATTGTAGTTTAAAAGCGTATTTTCAAAACATGATTTTTTCACCCAAACATGAAATTCGAGTAATTTTTTAAACAAAAATACAATTTTCGCTATCCCCCCATTATGCAATTATTTCTTCAACTACATTCTAAGTTTATGTCATAAGTCTTATTTATTAATATTTCAAATAAAAAATAAAAATAAAATAAAAACAAAAACACATAAGCTATATAGTTATAATTATTATTAAATATTGATAAAATTCCCATTTAATAAATACAAGATGAGCTAATGAAACATAAATAAACATAAACATTCTAAACAAAATGCATTTATTTATAAAAAAGAATTAAAATATAAACAAGTATTAAAAGACATTTTTTATTGAGAAATATATTGAAATGGAAATGGTTCAAGTCTGATCTTTGAAACGTTAGAATAAAATTGATGTTTTAATTGAATAAATAATTGATACTGAGGATTTTATAAAAAAACGCAAGTGGCAATGTTGTGACTTGAAATAAATCTGAGGCCAAATATAAGACGATGGTTTAAATCTGCTTTTTTATTTTTGGACAATTTCCTTTACTTTCTAAATAAGAAACACTCACTTGAAACAGTCGCATTCAGACAGTATCTTTACGGAATTATATTTCGTTGTAGAATTTATTCAAAACTATAAATTCTGGTTTCATTGTCCTCAAATTTCTAAATTCAACTTTCTTGGGGCTGAACAAGACTTTTAGATGAGTTTTAAATTAAAATACAATTTACATCTGAATTCTCTTTATTGCAACAAATGTGTAGCCCGTGATACAAAGGATTTTCTTTTTTGTTTAAGACAGCAAATAAAACAATAAATAAAACACAATTTATAATACCAATATCTTACAATTTATTGAAGTATATATATATATTCTTATGCATACATACAGACATACATATAATAAAATTATGAATGAATTAAACTATTCAACAAAATTGTTTTATTTCGCAGCAAATAAAGATTTGCTTATTTAAACATTTCATTTTGCAAAGTCAGTAAAAGCCGTTTGCTCGTCATACAGTATTGAATACTAAATACATTCAATGTAAAAATTCATGTGAGCACAAGTTTTGTTCAAATGTATATCAGGAAGTGTTTAATGATATAAAGAAATATCATAAAGAAGAAATATTTTAAAAATTGCTAATTTTGATAAAAATGCACAAATTATTACCCAATGCCCAAAAATTAAAGAAGAGCCCTATTGGGCTTTCCTCACACACTATTCCCAGTAGAGAACTTGATGCCAAAAAAACTGTTGATTCATTCGGGGCATAAGGTTCTGGGATATACCTTTTGCTACTTAGAGTTCGGTATTGATTACAAAGTAAATAAATCAAATAGTAAAACATAAGAGGCATTTGTTCGAAAGTTTCTGCTAGAATTAATTGGATCAGTAAACTGATCGATTGTCCTCTAATCTCTTTTATTTCTAACAAATTCAATGGCATTGTCGAGAATCGAATGCTCTTTTACGGACAGAATGTCTTTTTCATCCCCTATGGTGTAATGGAAAAACTTTATATCTCAGTACTAACTAAATCTCAACAGAAAAGTGAGATTGTTGGAAAATGTAGTCAGCTAAATATTATTGTTCTATTGTTTTTTTTTTTTATTTAAAAAATATACATACATACTTTACTGTAATTAACGGTTATGTGTAAGTGAATATTTACTGTTCAACTTTATTCCAAGGATAAAAAAGTATTTACTTGCCCATAGAAAGTCATAGTAATTTCAATAATGATCTTTTCGTCTTAAAAGAAGTAAAAAAACTATCATAAAATCTAAGTCCACCACGCCTTAGTGTTGCCACTGGACCCATGTAGGGGATCGTCGGCTTCTTCATGTTTCACTTTAATTGAATCGTCTAGCTCATCCAAATGATCCTCCTGCATGTCATGTTCCTCATCTTCGTGGCTAAGGTTTGTCCCAGCCGGAGCTCTTGTTTCAGCTGTTGTAGCATTCTTGTTTTTCTCCGCATGCTCTACAAATTTATGTAATATTTTGAGGGTTTCTATTTTGGCCCTTAATTTGGCGCTTTCATTTAATTTCCTAAATGTTGGTACGAGCGACAGGCAGAACGAGATATCACCATCACGTATTCTAAAAGATGGTGCCGAAGCTGCACCGCCAGAACTTGTGGCAACTCCCGCGTTTTGTCCATTGGGTTTTTTTAAACCATCAAAATTCTTAATAACTTCTTTGTGAGTTTTACTAAGTTTTGGCGGTGATGCTGGTGTTGTCTTTTGCGCCTGCATTTTTGGTGTTGGCTTGACCGAACGCCTTAGGTTTCTACGTGGCTCCGGTGTTTCACAGTTTTCATCTTCTGCATTGTCGTTGGCTTTAAGTAATTCCTCCATGACTTCGTCGGTATCGTTGTCTTCCATATAAGAACTGGAATTGTCCCCGTCTAATGTGTCATTATATTTGGATTTTGAATTGCTTGCTGGTGGCATTTTATAACCGACAAAATCTCGCATAAATTCCATATCATCAAAGTAAACATATTTGCGCTTTTTATGTGCTCCGCCTGAGTTGATCAACTTAATTTCCCTATAAAAATGATCCCTCAAGTGCTTCCATTTAGCCTGGATTTCGTCAACTGCAATTGTAATTTCCAAAACACATAATAGGTATTTGCATTCGTACCGATTGTGGCTATTCTCAGTACTTTACCTCTAGCGTCTTTTTCCACATCCGTATATGATTGCCAATCTTCAGGTGGTGTCAACTTCTCGCCTACTTCCAGCCAAAGTTGATGTTTGTGATCCCTCTTTGGATGGTCCAACAAATCTCTATTGTAAAGGCCGGGACGACATTTGATTTCTCGTATCAAATCTCTTGGATGAAATCCGCTCATTTCCAATTTATTTTATTTGTTAACACTGTTTCTGGGCAAAGAAGCGTCTCCGTACCGAACTGCCACATACGAACTATTCTGTGAACGGAACTATCGGAACTAGATGCAGCACTTTCGTTGTACTAGTTCTTTTCAATTTGCGAAGTTATGGCATTTGACACTATTGTTTGCTAATTGCATCAGAATTTAAAAAATTATTTACTGAATTTTAAGGAAAACCTAAAAACGATTCAGATAGACAGATATATGCAGAAACATTCAGAGTCCATTAGCTTCGATTAAAGTAAGTGGAGGCAACACCACATACAACCCTGTGTTGGTCAATGACAGCCATAGTAACGTCAGAATTACTATTAACAACACTTGTTGATTTTATTTTACAAAAATGAAGAAAAACCCCGCAAAATTGTATATAGGGTGAAATTTTATTTTTAAAAATATGTTCTATGTATCCCAAATAATTTATTGGTTCACAAAGGGGTAAAATTGGACCATATATGCGCTGTAATAACAGCAACAAGGTTCGCCAACATTATTCTTACATTTTTAAAGTTTTATTTGTTATTACAGAAAAAATACTTATTTAACATACGTGGTAACCAAAAGTATATAATCTTGACAAGGACCCTCAAGAAATAATTTTATTACTTTTTATTCCCAGTGGAAATCGTGCTTTAAATAAGGGTCATAGTCAAATTTTGTTAGTCTCTAGAATTTTATTGAACCTATTTCTACTTTTACAATCTGATTGAAAGAACTTATGCTTGTACGTTACGTCCACCATACATTTTCCATATTCTTTTCCGTACAGTCTTCTAGCTTCAACTCCATTTCGGATAAATTTCCTGAATTTTTGCTATTCTCCGCAAGTTTTTGCTTCTTTGCTCTTGGCGTAGCTTCATCTACATATCTATGAAGTATTGTTAGAATGTCAATTTTTGCTTTCAGTCGTTTCGATTCATCCAATTTGCGCATTGTGGGTACTAGCGACAGGCAAAAAGATATATCTCCATCTCTCATACTAACGGCAGGTATTGAATATTTAGTCTTTGTGGTAGAGGGAGTGCTGTGTGGTCGTATTTTTTGTGATATTTTCTTTAAATCATCAAATTTATTGATAACAAGTTTTTGCTCCTTGGTCAGCTCATTATCCTTAGGGGGTGAGATGGAATCACGAGGTGGTGCCTGCTTCTTTACAGGCATTCTTGGAGAACGACGTGTTCGTTGAGGTGACTCCTCCTGAACTTCCTCTGAAGTGTTCAATGACTGATCATTGGTAACATCATTATCTGGCTCCTCATCATCACAACTGTCATCGGTAGAGTCACAAGATTTACGTTTAGGTGTAACTGAGCCGTACAATCTACCACCCACATAGGGACTCATAAATTCCATGTCATCGTAATATTTGTACTTTTTCTTGGTATGTGCTTTGCCAGCCCTAATCAACTTAATTTCCCGAAGGAAGTGGTTGCGAAAATTTTTCCATTTGATTTGGATCTCTTCAACTGAAAGAACGAATTTATTAATTTTATCATTTAATATGCTTTTTGGGAAACTTACTTTTCATATGCTTTTCATTTTCGTCATATGATTCCCAAACATCGCTTGGGGTCAAACTCTCAGCCACTTCCTTCCACAGTTGTTGTTTATGCTCTCGTTTTGGTTGTTCGAGTTGCTCTTTGTCGTATAGACCTGGACGACATTTGATTTCTCTAATCAGATCTTTGGGATTGGAATTTATGAGGTGCTTCTTAAATTTTCTTCCACTATCCATTCCAAAGTTGTGTTCCTTTGCCACTGTAGGGTATCAAATTGTAAACAACAAGCAAAAAAGGGTTCTAGAAGATCGGAAAATATGTTCTAAAGAGCTCTAGAAATACGATTTTCTTCCACAATTCACTGAAAAGAGCACAGGCCTAGTACCGTAATTATAAGTAATTCATTGCACCGCGCAAAATAAATATAAACCGCCATTTAAAACAACCTAGGGAGCAAGTTGAGTTTAGGGGCTATGCTCGGATCATTTTGAAATTTTTACCGCAGGTAGGTATTTGTAACCTGATTACGGCAATGTAATTTTTTTGAGGGGGAAATACCCGGTTACCCGGTTATTCGACCCAAAAGTTCGAATATAACATCCGGTTTGTATCCGGTTCTATGTAACCGATATCAATAAAATGGGTATCATTTGAAAGCTTATGAAAATACCTATCCAACAAGTGGTCATACGGGGTTGCTGGAACCGGTTTCGGAGAAATTTAGGAAAATTTGCATTTTTGTATGAGTACTTTTTGAAAAACCTATAAAAACTCGAAAACGGACCCATTATAGGGTCTTAAAATCTATACACTATATTATAGCTAACACTATTGCCTTTCCAAAATGGTGTCATATGTGTTGATATCTTTTGTGGTTCCGTGGATATAAGAGATAGAATTCATTAAATTATATTTTTCTCCAGTCTAGATGCATTTGACTTTGACCTTTATAGCTTTTTTAAGCAACCGGCCTTCGGCCGGGGCTTAAGATTTTCTCCTCTGGGGTATGTCCAACACCGGCTACGCGATCCATAGTTTTTCTAAAAATTGTACATTTTGTAAGTAGCCGGCCTTCGGCCGGGGCTTAAGATTTTCTCCTCTAGGGTATGTCCAACACCGGCTACGCGATCCATAGTTTTTCTAAAAATTGTAATTTTTGTAAGTAGCCGGCCTTCGGCCGGGGCTTAAGATTTTCTCCTCTAGGGTATGTCCAACACCAGCTACGCGATTCATAGTTTTTCTAAAAATTGTAATTTTTGTAAGTAGCCGGCCTTCGGCCGGGGCTTAAGATTTTCTCCTCTGGGGTATGTCCAACACCGGCTACGCGATCCATAGTTTTTCTAAAAATTGTAATTTTTGTAAGTAGCCGGCCTTCGGCCGGGGCTTAAGATTTTCTCCTCTGGGATATGTCCAACACCGACTACGCGATCCATAATATTCTAACAACACCAAATTAAAAACAAAGCAGATTAACAAGAACGTTAAACCCGACACAAAACTTGGGTTCACTCAAACTGCTTTCATAAGTAACGACTTTAAAAGTCAATATCTTCGGAACTACAAAAGATATCAACACATATGACACCATTTTGGAAAGGCAATAGTGTTAGCTATAATATTGTGTATAGATTTTAAGACCCTATAATGGGTCCATTTTCGAGTTTTTATGGGTTTTTCAAAAATTACTCATACAAAAATGCACATTTTCCTAAATTTCTCCGAAACAGGTTCCAATTACCCCGTCATATGACCACTTGATGGATAGATATTTTCATAAGCTTTCAAATGATACCCATATTATTGATATCGGTTACGTAGAACCGGATATAAACCGGATGTTGTATCCGAACTTTTGGGTCGAATAACCGGGTAACCGGGTATTTCCCCCACAAAAAAATTATATTGCCGTAATCAGGTTACAAATACCTACCTGCGGTAAAAATTTCAGGTCAATCCAAGCATAGCCCCTAAACTCAACTTATGCCCAAACGCATTGCCAATCCTGTTGAACATTTGCATCTGAAAACGAATTACTTCGTGTTAATGCAAGAAGGGACAAGTTCAAGACAGATTCATATAATCCGGACCAAATCGGGACAATCTTTAAAAGTGGTCCAAATGATTGACTCGTATATTAGTAATGGTAGACATGAGCAAATTTCCTTTCCTAAAAAGCTAACCTTGCAGGTCTTAGGAGTCCTTTGTACTTTATATAAGTTAAACTAGGAATACATTTTTCCAAATTATTATTTTATTTAAATAACATTTATACAATTTAATTACATTAAATTAATACCTTTCGGTGGTGGGTACCATCAAAAGTTCTGCTATGGTTACATGAAGTGGTGAGCCCAAAATAAATGTGACTCCATTTGCTACATCTTCAGGTTTCAAGGGTTCAGTAAAACTTGGAAAGCTGTCTACATTTTCCGATACGGGATCCTTTTTACCAAAATCGGTTTCTGTTAAGCCGGGACTAATTGTCTACAAAAGAAAAATGAAAGAAAAATATTAGCATAACAAAAGAAAACATCTAAGCTTCGTAATTAATTGCATTTTTGCATCAGTTCTTGATTTTTGTTTGTTTTGTTTGGCATGGGGGTAGTGATCTCTCTTCTAATACAATGCTTTGCCCTTTCTATTGTTACACGGGGGAAATGTATATGAATTTTCAAAACCTGTTTTAAAACGTTTTCTTATTTTGTACATATTATTCATATTATTACTATGATACGTAATTAGATAATTGTTGGAATTAATTAAAATACAGTAGATTGTGTTTAAAAGCATCTTATGGGAGGAATAGTAAGAATAGTTTTGGTGGAAATTCAGTTATTTTTTTAATATTCCCTTTCTACATTTCAATTTGCTCGCAAAATACTGACTTTAAGTTTTTTTTAATAATTTACACCCTTTTAAACTTACCGATAAACGCAATAACTTGTCATCAGCCATTTCCCTACGTAAAATCTCATTGGTTGCCCTCAAGGCATGTTTTGCAACTGGATATAAATTAAAGCCACATCCGGGTATGTGCTGGGGTACAACATGCCCCAACAGGCTATTAACTTGTATCACATGACATTCTTCGCCAAATTCCATGGCTTTTTTCATCAGACGATATGCCTCCTTTGTACAGTAAACAGCTCCCATTAGATTAACATCAATGACCCGTTTAATGGACTCATCATTGCCGGTATCTAAGAGCTTCGAGAACTCACACATGCCAGCATTATTGATCAGGACGTGCATTCGCTGAGCAAAACGTTGTTCCAGCCAATGGAAGGCGGTACGCAATGATGGCAAAGATGTTAGATCGCATTCGCGGGGAAAGAAACGGTCCTTTTGATTGGGCGGTAACTGCGACTTGAGTTCTTCCATGACCTTTAAACGTCGAGCTAGACCAATGACAATCATGTCTGCCTTTAAAAGTTCCTTACAAATGGCCCAACCAATGCCAGCACTGGCACCGGTAACAACAGCAACTTTTCCACGCCAGCGTTCCATTTTGAATCCTGGAAATGTATGTTCTTCTTTTAAAAACTTAAATAAATCCTGCCGTTACAGCTGCCACCGCGCAATGTGAAGCGTTGGAAAGTACTTGCAATACTAATGCCAGACCGTGTTTGCACTTGGGGTATAATTGTTGATTCGGTTTTGTTAATTGATTGGCTTCGTTGTTGTTGTTTTCTTCCGGCCGTTCTACATCCACAAAGCCTTTGGCTAACACCTATATGTTACAGTACAAAATAGCATTGAACTCAAGTAAAACTGGTTGCACTTTTGCTTTTTCGAAATTAAAGTAAACGTCTGATTTTCTTTTCCAACTGTATGTGCCGTTGATCGTTTGTTTTAGTGGTCGTATTAAGTGAATCATTTTTGAAACGACGTTGTGATTGGAACGGTTATTGAACGTTTTATTGAAATTAATTTTGTTTTTCATCATTAGCATATGTAGATGTTAGTGTGTTTAATTTTATGCAAACACATGTATATTGAAAAAAAAAATAATAATAAAAAATCATTTGATGTGGTTTTTAAATTTTTTTGGAAATTACTTCCGAAAATAAATTTTATTTTTACAAAAAGAAATTTAAGGTATCAATTGGCCATTAAAATAATACGTAGGGCTTAAATCACAATCAAGGTTTAAAACTTTTTACTGGAGTCTTGGGATATCTAGCCGCATAAAAAATATTTTTTTTTTTTACTTCGAGTCACGGTTTTGGCGACACAACACATGAAAATTAGATTTCCGGTTGCCTGCTTCCCTGAAGATTTGATACCACCTGTGAACAGATTGAATAAAGTAAATAAATCATTTGCTTTTGTTTTCTAATAAGAACCGTTAAAATATACAACTTTTATTTTCATAAGCAACAACAACTGTGGTGTTTTTGTAATGTCTAGGTTTTGGGGTCATTGGAACAAATAATATTGCAAATCAACTAGACCGTAGATTTTATTATTATGTATTAAAGTGGATAAAATTATGCATGGATTTGGAGAGAACGTTAGTTGGTCAATTAAAAAGCTTTAAAAGATGATAGTACTTCGTGCCTTTAATATTTTTAAAATAATATTTTTAAAATAATATAATTTGATTGGCCTTTTTATTAAGCGATAACAATGTGGGATGAAAACATTGCACATTTCAATATTGTTAACGTCAAAAACCTCATTCCTTTTGTCATTCCAAAAAATGCTTTTGCTCCCGTCTTGTATTTTATACGGCACATTTCGATTTTTATAAAAAATATACTTTTAATCGCTTTGATTAAAATATTTACCACAAATCATATATAATAGAGATAATTACTGGGTAATATTGTTTTGTATTTCCTGTTTAAGACAAAGGGCGCGTGCCACCTATAAAAATTTTATTTAATTTTTCTAATATTTCATTTAATTTGCTGTGATAATAGCTTGCCTTGCCTCCCTGTAAATTAATTTGTTTAATTTCAAAGTAATTGCATTTTAATTTTAGCAGAATTGTCCAATTAAAATAAATCTGCATTAAACAGCATTATAAGAATAAAACTAATTAGTTTTCGTATAAAAATAATACTTTATTTTATTAATGGTTTTATTTACAAGAGCAAATATATTTATTAAAATTGGCTGACGTAAAAATGTGTATATTCAGCAGTTGTTTTGCAAGGACTAGCCTTAACATTACTGGAAGACAACAAATAGTTAAAAAAAATAAATTATTATAAGTCTTTGGATCCAGCAGTCGCATTCTATGTAAAATTTCAAAGTGCAAGAAAAAAATCGAATAAATAACTACAAAATTAAGTTTACACTTTTTTTAAGGATTCTCTTAGATTTGCTTCACTTTATACAAGTTATAGGGATACACAAAATTATAGAATTTCACCTGAAATTACTTTTTTTACTATTGAGAAGGCAAGCATAGGACATTTAACATTAAAAGATCTCTGCAGTTCTGAAACTTATAAGGCTAGGATTTGAACAAACAAGCGAAATTGTTTTGAGAATAACTAATTTACCTTCGATTATATCTTCAACTGCGTAATGCCCGTAACTTTATGAAAGGATTTTCCAATTTTTGTAAAACTGTATTTTTCCCCATATCTATTAAATAAGTTATTTCCATATTTTTTCAAAAATCCCAGGCAAATAAATCTCTAAATCTCAGTAGTGAACAACATTTATAAAATATTCGCAATTCCTAACTAAATTCTAGTCTATTAAACCTCCATACCCTCATCCGATTTTTTCCCTTGTTTGTTCAAAGCCTCCTCATTTGTAAGTTTCGTTTTTTCAGTTCTTGTATGCCATACCAATACATCACGGCAATTGTTTGCCAATGGCTGTAGTTGTGATCTAGTAGTTAAATGTCTTAAAATTTCACTCTCTTGATAGCCGCGTTGAACTTCATAACTGAAAGCAGCCTCGGGGTATTTAAAAAGTAATTCAGTTGATATCGCAAACCCGGCCATATCAATTGGAAATGGCCGTTCGGGACGCCAAGCCGCATTGAAGCCCTCCACCAGGTTAGTTTCTTGATTAAGCAAAGGCTTCTCCACCATAAGACCACCAACCAGACCCACAGGCCACACGCCCACTCGACCAGGTTCTATTTTAGACATCTCCGCAAATAGTTCCACACTATAGGAATTATCGTCGTCCATGAAGAAGACAATATTGTGCTTTTCGGCATCCGCATTTGTGCGTATCCATGATAAGGCTAGATTTCTTTGCTCCACGCCACGAGGCTTTATCCAATTGGGATCGTTATGTTTCAGTTTGAAGGCTGTGGGTGTTTTAACATTCAATTGAGTGGAACGTTGCGTTAAGCCAGCTCGTTCCAATAGATTCCTTACTAGATTTGTTTTCGTCTCTGAATCTTCTACGATGACCCAGTGCAAGTTTGGCAGCAACATAAAGATGTGAGAAAGCCTAAAAATACAACAAACACACATTAGTCATACATTCATATCATTTAAGTGTTTTTTATCTTTTCTGTTATTGCTCTCAAGGGTCGACGACGATTGCCAGCTCACCTCACCTCGTTAATTCAGCTTTTTGATGTGGCCGGGCATAAGTGGGTGTTACGCAGTAAATTGTTGGTAATTCTCCATCTTGCTGTTTGGCGTACATGGCCTGGAGGTATGCTGGTCCCTGGCAAGTCCTTTTGCCATTGCGATGAACCATTAGTAGAATAACCAGGAACACAATGATTAAAACCAATACTTGGCGAGGTTTAATGCGTACTTCCGACATGTCCAAGCACTGAGATTGTTGTTGTTTGTATGGATATGTATTTGTTTATCTGTCATAAAACTAATTTAGTTAAGTAATTTGATGATTTTTGTGTAAATTATGACAAAAAGCTAGCTCTAGAGTTCCTTATCTGACCTATCTGATCTGTTTATGGGAGAAAAACAATTGGATTAGTAGAAAAGAAGTACTACGTAACGTAGTAGCCACTACGATACGGCAACATTGCATGGAAAGGGAGCACAGAAGGAAATCTGAATAAAGATGTGGAATCAAAACAGAAAGGCTGACAACATATGTCACGACTGACACTACGATACGGCAACACTGAAAGGTGTTTATGGGAGAAAAAATAACTGGATTAGTAGAAAAGAAGTAACGTTTACTATAAACACTACGATACGACTACACTGAAAGGAAAGGCAACACAAAAAGAATATTTGAATAAAGATGTGGCATGAAAACAGAATGGTACATTCAAAAATAAAAACGTCCCAAACAATGCAAATAGGCAGCACATAGCACAATCCCCGTTAAAAAATAAACAGAAAACAAAATGGCCGTGTTTACGAATTAGAAGAGAAAATAAAACCAAAGAAAACCTCAGTTAGCTGAGAACCGGTGCCCATTCACAATGATGTGATAGCACCGCAATAAAACTAATAGCGCGCTTACACACAACCTTTTTTGTAGCGATAAGCTTAACCTATATCTTCGATGGTCAAATTTATTGTTATTGGCCAATTGTCAGGGTTAAGACCATGGCACAATCATTAGGTATTGGATTTACCGCAACTGATATTCTAGATGAGTTGCCAAAATACTTATTCTTTTTGGAATCACAGTGCGAATTACAAATTTTGACATTTCATCTGATTAGTGCAACATCTTTCGCAATCGTTGAGATCATAGCAGAATGAACACGCGTATTTCCATATCTCTAGTATAATGCTATGTCCATGTGGCTGTTGTTTTAATCATAACGTGTAACGCTTTTACTAATATAAAAGCCGAATAAAATATTCCATGTAAACTTACTTCAAGTTAATGTTTTCAATGAAAAAAAATTCCCCCTAATAGATAACATAAAATAAAACAACTTGGTTTTAATTTCACTTGGAAGTCATTTTCATTTTATTCTTGTCTGCAATTTGTTTAAGAATCATCTTCATTCAGAAATAAAATTCCATATAATATTTAATTTGTTTTTGTAATAGAAAAGCTACATCAGTATTTATGTCTTATTAGCCATTTCAATAGTCAATTGGGTTATTTGAGTGTATATATCAAGAACATAGTTTTATTCAAAGAAAAAATTAAATGCATTTTCAATAATTTGTTTTATTGTTATGCGGGCTTTTTGTTACTTTTATTTATATATAAATATAAAATATTTTGATTTATTTATTGAGATTGAGACTTTATATTTTATTTTATAATTTTAAATTCGCCATAACATTGTTTTTTTATTTTAATTTGTATAATTTTTATATTTTTTACGAAACATAGAACTTTTTTGAGTATGCACAATGCGAAACAAAATAAAACTCATTTCAATAATTTGTTGATTTTTTTATAATTTAATTTTTTTTTTTCGAAAATTATTGAAAAGGGGTTTTATCATGCTACACATTTAAGCTTATGGTACATATTTGTACATAATGTAGTTTTGTACAAAGTTCATGATTTTATGAATGTGTATGTGAAATATTTTTGTATATTTTTTTTATTAATTTGTATTTGTAGAGTATGTATTTTAAAAAGCTCTTAAAAGGCGCTTGTGTTTTTGTTTTGGACTTGGGGCAAAGAATAAGTAAAACAAAAGTAGAACATGTGCAAATGAAAACAAAGTTATTTTTTATGTTTTTATTATAGTTTTTATTGTGTTTTATTTTGTTTGTATGTATATATAGTTATTGGTGGAAAAATTGGTTTCTTTTGTTTTTTGTTAATCTTAAGACTAATAAATACATTTACTTATTACTAATAATTAGCCTATATTATTATTCTTAAATTTCTTAAATTTATATTTTACAATTTTAAAAATGTTATTTTTTTGTATAAAAATTATGGCGATGTAATTGTAACATAAAACTTCATTGGGAAAGAAACACTGTCACTGGTGATTAGCTAGAAGTGAGTTTAGAAAATCAAAAACAACTTAAAAAATGATTTTACGTTAGGCAATTTTGCTGTAATCTTTTAAAAAAATATATAGAAGTGAAAAACAAGAATCTAAAATATCGATTACCCCTTATTTGATTAGAATAGCTAATAGATTTCCGTCATTATCTGAATTAAAGCAATTGTCTTCACATATTAAGGAATCGATGACACTGTGTCATGTAAACGCTATATAAGCGACAAAAAGTGACAAATGTATAAATGACAAATGTATTCTATGAAAGACTGGGGTTATCGAAATTTCTCGATAAGTTTTTCTTTTGTTCCATATCTTCTTTAATATTGAGCAATAATTTACGAATTTGTTTAAGATTTCCAAGCATCAATTAAATCTAAAGGCAAAATTAAATAAAACATAAAATATGTAGAATGTCGTATATATATTCTTTTAATAATAAATATATTGAGCATTTTTTGTTTTGTCATGGAGTTTTTATATTAGAATGACTTTGACGTTTGCTTGTATTATTTGTTTTTATTTATTGTTTATTTGTTTTTTCTTATTAGCTGAAATTTTATTCACATAAGCCACAATTTACACTTACATTAACATTATATAGATTTGGTATAATATAAAAAAATACAGAACCAAAAATTAGAATAAGTCTCTTGAAATTTTGTTAAGTACCAATAAATATTCAATTTTAAATAATTCTTAATTTATAAAAAAACAATAAAGGTGAGAGTACATAAAAAGCTTTTTTGATTGGCTTAAGTCATCGGCTGACTTCTTCGCGGAGAAACAAAGGAGTTTTAGGTTGACTTAGTTCGATTTTGACCCTAGCTTCTTCGTTCATTTCCGTAGAAGCCAGCCGATGGCTTAAGATAGTCAAAAAGGCGTATTATGTTTTCTCACCGTAACTGTCATGTTCTGAAATTTATATTCGTGTTTTGACTCTGCAACACTGTGCTTTCACAAAAAAAAAAAAAATAATAATATAAAAAAAACCTAAACCAACTATGGACAATTACATGTTGCTTTAATTAGAGGTTCAACCAGCTGTTGAAAAGCGTGCTTAGTCAAAATTTATTTACTTTTTATCTTTTAAATATCAATTCAATTCAATCTATACATCTAATGTACTAATGCTCCGTTCCTGAACCTGCATGAATCTACTATTTTTACAATTTTATTTTCGATATCATAAATGCAAAATAGGTTATTGTAGTAAAATTGTAACATTTTTGCATTTCTGGAACAGACCAAATAACAATGTGTTCCTGCAGATTTAAGAAAACCAAATGTAATGTCAAAATTTGTTTACACTTTTCGCCACTTTGTTTATCCTTTGTCCTGTGATTTCAATCACAATGATGCATTTTGACATTGAATTTGGTAGTCAGCTGGTTTGGAAGGGATTAGGGATCTTTAGAGACGACGCTGGCAGCTTAGGCTATGTTTACATCAAGAGAGTATAATCTTTAGTTAAGCAGCCTATTTATTGAAAAATGTGTTGGAATTTGATGTAAACACGCTTGAGATAAATAATGCCGTAAAAATCCTCTGTCGGTCTATTTTGAATCATAATTTAGATTTTTGTTGCAAATTTGATTTCGGTAACTAAACAAATTCCGAAAAGTTTCTCTATAGTACATTTTTCGAAAGCAAAGGTTATTTTTTCTTGTAGCACAGTGTCATGTCATGTCATGGCGTTTTTAATATTTTATAAAAATATTATTATAAATTTTTAGTATTCAAATGAAATAGGTGGAAAATAATGTATATAAATATTTCATCAATGCATTATTCTAGTGACAATTTCTCTCTCGAAATTGCAATGAAAATGTTTTTATTTTGGTTTCCTCTTAAAATTATAATGGCATGTACTTTGTTTTGAGTGATGAATTTGTTTTGCTGCTTGTTTTCTTTTTATGGTTGCATAATAAACTATGCCTTTCGAAATTATGACTAAATCTTATAATTAAAACAAACAAAAAAGAGTACTATAATTAAGGCAATAAATGAATGAATAGAACATGTTGATATATGTATGTATATGTTGTATAAAAATTAATAATACTAAAAATCAAAAACATTTTTAAACTAGTGAGGAATATAAAAAATAACCTGATGTTGTCATGTCATGATATAATATATATTCAAAAATGTTAGCATGACATTTGATGAACAAAAATACATAGAAATGTTATTGGGTATATATAATAACTTAAGCCTTCTATCGATAAAATTACATTTAAGAAAAATGATAATACCAAAGCAGCTTGGCATCATGTCATGGCATGTCATTGTGACATATCATAAAGAGATGTCAGAGTCGAACTCGAATCCTGCCGTCGTTTTTTCTTATGATTTGACATTAATATGCTATGTCATGATGCAAAGCTACTTAGGTGTCATCACGTCAAGGCTACGGCTATGTTTACATCAAACAAGCTTCAACTAAAACTGTCATTGAAGTTGCCAAACTCATTAAGTTAACATGGCAAGTTTGATATAAACATAACCTAACTTTACATTATGTTTAATGTAAACACGGCCTTGGTGTTTTGTACAATTTATCGAATGCTATCGATATCAAGCTTATGTTATTATTTTCCGCTGACAAAATACATTTAATGGCTTTCTTAAAAATACATGATTTTTTTATGCAATCACTGTCTATGATTTCTTTTAAATTAATTGTACATGTTGTTGTTGTTGTTTTCTTTGTCATATATGCATATAGAGTATATCTCGGTTATTTACTTTTATAATTATAATAATAATGAAGCATAATCATTCCCAAAGTTTGTGTGGTTTTGTATTTTTGCAGGAAATCCTTTCGGACTTGTTTTCTCTTATCTTTTTGTGATCAGGGTAGTAGTAGTTGTAGTTGTATCATCATCATCGTCCATTCCTTGCCGGGAATGGGTTGCATACTTCCGTTTGTTTACACTGCTGAATTTTTACCAATTATTTCACCACTTCGTGAATGTACAAATTTACCATCAAATTCAACGGTGGAATTTTGTTTTATACTTTCAGTGGGAGTTTGCAGAGGCTGCTTTTCATCTCTGTTAGGAAAGATAAGAAAATGGCAGGGGAATTAGTAAAAATTGTATTTTTTGCTTGGATAAAGCTACAAATGAAAAATAAAGCTAATATCTATTTATGAAATGGTCACACGACTACAATATGGTTTTTTGCAAAGAAGGAGAGTCGGAAGAATGTATTTAAAAGTTGATTTGACATTAGATTCTGAAAAATTAATCGAAAATGTTGACAGATTTTGAGTATTCAATCACAATATTATCTGTTTGTCATTTTTGAAATGACTCAAAATATCTGGTGAAGTTTTTCTATGTGTTTTATAAATATTAATAAATCTTTTGTGTCCTTTTTAAAGTACGTTTATATATATGAGGGTTAACCCACTGGATTTGGATTTAAATTGTCATATCCATTACTTATACTTCAAATAAATCCTCTCAAAGTAGGTTAACCCTACAAAAAGTTCTAACTTAAACATGGCATTAGAAATGAGTATTTTAATTTGATTAAAGTGACTTTAAAATAGACTCCTTGTAATCATAGCCTTAGTTTAGCCTATACAGCATGGTAGAAGAATACAGGCAGATGCAGCAATGCTTGGGAACATTGATATGTCAAAAAAATTTAAATGTTTTTTCAAATATAAGTATATTTTATAAGTTTTCTTATACGACGCCAATCGGAGGTTGTTATGATTTACATTTTTCAACAATTTTTATAAATTTGAATAATTATTCATTGAAAATTTTCAATTCCAAAATTGGTTTGACAGTTGATAGTCCCAGCAGCTGTGTCGATGTGCATGTGCTGGTACAATGAACTGTCAAAACGATTTAGGAATTGCAAATGTTGAATGAAAAATTATTGAAATTTGTAAAAATTGTTTGTCGTATAAAAAAACTTATAAAAATCTACTTGACAAAAACATTTTAAAATTTTTGACATATTCCAAGCGTTGCATCTACCTGTATTCTTCTACCATGCCTTTACAGGCAATTAGCTTAAAAATATTGCATACTTTGCGGGGCAAGAGTATTGTCATAACTAAGGCTATGTTTACACAAAAGCCAGTTTAAATTGACCAATTTAGATTTGTGACACTTTCATAAATAGATTTTAATTTCCAAAGTTTTTGGTAAGGCAAAAAATATTCTAAAAAAAGAAAAATTTTTACAACAAAAGAAGATGATTAGTATGTTAATGACAATGCGGGGGGCAGGTTCGGTTAGTTGGCATGTCTAATACTAGTTTTGATTAGTTTATTATTACGAAAAATAATAAAGGATAAGATAATAATTGTTGTAGTAGTTTGTTTTGTTTTTACGTACGATGGCGAAACCATGGGGGATCCACCCAACTTGACGGGTGGCGGTAAGGGTAACGGTGATGGTGGGGGCTCCTTAACTAGCTGGCCGCTGCAATTAGGTTTTGGGAAACGCCAACCATTAGGACTGCTTGGTTAGATGTTTTGGTTTTGTTTTTTTTTTATTAAATTATTTGTGTGCGTTTGTGTGACAGTTATGATGAAGATGATGATGAGGACCAAGGATAACAAAAGGTTTTTGGGGAAAAAGTGAAATGCATGAAAGGTGTTAAATGATGATGATGACGATTTTTAAGGAATTAGGCACTAAACATAACCAACTAAACAAAATCATAAATGGAGGGAGAGGGGCAATACAAAAATAAAAAACGAAAAACTGAAATCATTTAATATTGCACTACAGGTGAAAATTTTGAAAACGAAACTCAAATCGGGGAAACTGAAAAAAGGAATTCAAACCAATGATAATGGGTTGCGGTTTAGTATCAATGATTTGGGTCTGTGGAATACCCAATGATAATTCAAATCCGTATTAGCTATTTTCGCTTTGGTTACAACAACACTTTATAGATAAATGCCAGGAATAAACAAAAGCATAAAACGGGGGGAGGAAAATAAAGAAAATTTTGTTTGGTCAGTGCAATATTACATGATTAGGCTACGTTTATTTTGTTTTTTTTTTTTGGTTAAATAGGAAAATTAATAAGATGATGAGCTAATAGAAGACTCTAAATAGGTAGGAATAGCAATAGATCTTATTCAACAACCCATTCTCCATGAAAATGGGTGTTAAATTTCAGTGAAAAAAAATACATTTTTTTTGGCTTACCTTCCCAACTTGGCTTCCTCGTCGATTTCCGATGGCGATCTCTTGGTGCGCCTGCACATACTGGCCATAACACCCATATTGATGGTCACACAGCACAACAAGTCGACAATGAACAGCAGCAGCAAGACACCGCCCACAGCAATGCCCACAATTGAGGCCGAGGATAGTACTTGTCGTTCAGCCATTTGTATTACATCGATGCCTGTGTGAATGGGGCGTTAGAAGGTTGAGGAGAGTGGGAAAAAAGAAAAAGAAAACGTTTGTGTTATGTTTATGATTAGTTAATGTTTCATTAATTTTCTTAAGATGCAGGGCAAGGCAAGGCAGTCGGAGGATATTTCCTTGAGGGTTAAGGTTTGGGGGGCGGGAGATTGTGAGGCAGTTCTTTAATTGTGATAGATAACTTTTCAAAGTAACAATTACAACTATGCTCCTTAACTAGGTTACTAGGTTTGTTTAAACTTTATCTTGTTTTTGTTGTTTTTGCAAGAAATTGAAAGCATTGTTGTTGGTTTTTTATTTCGATTTATGGATAGGATTTAAGAGAATTTCAAGAAAATTTCAGGAATATGGGAAAATACAGATATAAGGCTATGTTTACATTTAGCCGTTTAGCATGGTCTCTTTGACGTAAGTGTTTATACATTTTACACCCAAAACTCGAGGTAATTAGGGTAAATGTAAACAGGGTCTAATGCTGAATGGTAAATATCAAATGTTCAGTCAGCTGATGTTTGTTTACATATGCAAACATGGTACAAGAATACAGGTAGTCGCATTGAGCCAGCTGCTGGGAAAATGAACTGTCAAACCATTTTGAAATTGAATATTTTAAATGAAAAATGGTTGAAATTTGTAAAAATTATTGAAAAATGTGTATCATACCAAACTCGGACTGGTGTCATATAAGTAAATCTACTTAGTTTGGAAAAAAGCATTGCATTTTTTGACATAACATGTTCCCAAGCGTTGATGCATCTACCTGAATTCTTCTACCATGGCACTAAGTATTGTTTTTAGGAATCGATTTCTTTGTCAAAAAGATGTTGGTACGAGACAAAAAATAATTATTTATCAGTTACATAAATTAGTGGTTATCAGGTACTGGATTTACCTCAGCTGATCACCCAGATGAGTTGTCAAAGCACTTATTGTGAATTTAATCACAGCATGAAAAATAAACAAAACGTAAACAAATTTTGACATTTCATTTGACATTTTGACTTTACAAAATTTGTTGAAAACTCACAAAATCTACTAAAACATTTTAAAATTTTTGACTCATCAATGTTCCCAAGAGTTGATGAATCTACTTGTATTCTTCTTCCATGAGAAAATCTGTAAAATATCACAACAAACATCAGCTGATTGGCATTCATTCAAAACAATTTAATCAAGTTTTTTACCAGCGACTTTACTAAAATTTTCTGAAATTATTCAACTTATTAACTAGACTTATGTTCTAAATAAATGCAAACTCCATTTTTAATTGTCAATGATTAGAAAGTGATTTGATTTGTTGATTTTTTTTACATTTTTGTGTGTGTATGGATTTAAATAATTTTTGTCAAAAATAATTTACAAAAAACAATAAGGTAAATAATAATAATAATTCCAAAGGAACCAAAAGCAAACACAACGTTTTATTTAAGAAGAAAGCATTAAACAATATACAAAACAACCAATGTAAGCAGTTTTTTTTTTAAAGAATTTTCATAAAAACAAACAAAGCTCATGCAAATAGAAAAAAAAAATATGTTGGCAAAAAATTATATAAAACTTAACTTAGACAACAACCAATGCATCAATATTTCAAAAAACGGAAAAATTAAAAACATACCAGAAAAAGCCAGGGATAGTTTTTTTGTTTGCTTAATAAATAAATTCAGTTATAATTCAACAAATATTTACAAGAGAGATAACACAAGCATTTAAGAGATAGGAATCAGGGTCAGAGGTTGGGTGAAAGGTGAGGATAAGTGTACGCAGTGTGATCGGTGATAGAATAGATATACAACTGTGTAAACATTATAAGGGTAGAACAGTTAAATAATATTAACAGAAAAAAGTACAAAATAGAAAAGTTTTAGATAAAAAGAGGCAATGAAGTCATGGATTCAATCTTCATTGCTCTTGTAAAAAGAAAATAAACCTGAATTTGTTAACACTGGTGTGGATTTATTTCTCTACTAAAACTAAGGTTATTTCAACGGTGTGTGTTTTCTAAAAGGGGATTAATTACATTTTTTTTTTAATTTTCTATATAAATATATAGGTTTTTTTTTAATTTTTAAACTAAATTTTTACAAACTTGTTTTATTTGCTGAATATTACCTTGGTGAACAGCATTGCTTTTGATTTTTATTAGGTTACAACACGCTGCAAATATTCACTATAGAAAACTGTTATACAATATTTATAAAAAAAGGAAACATTACAGAAGACATAAAAAAGACACAACAAATATTGAGACAATATTTATCTAGGGATTCCAATGATTACCGCCTACAGGATGTGATGTGGTGGGCAATGTAAACGTCGTGTGTTTTCCAGTGTTGCATTTTGTTGAGTTTTTTGGGGTTCAAGGCACCTGCATTGTTTTTTTTTGCGGTTCGAAGGCAAAACAAAGTGAGGAATTCGAGATTCGCCGTACACACATAATAAATCCAGTGGTTTACAACTGACAATGAGATTCACGAGATTTAATATTTGACACATACGGAATAGAATTGACAGCTGAAATCCACTGTGTTTATTATATGTAAACAAGCTTTAAACTAAAAGTCCTAAATCAATACGAATTTTGCCTAAAGGTGAGAATATTTAAAACGCTTTTTTGACTGGCTTAAGTCATCGGCTGGCTTCTTCGCAAAAGAACAAAGCAGCGTGGGGCTAAAATCGAACTGTATCAACCTAAAACTCCTTCGTTCCAAAGAAGCCAGTCAAAAAAGCATCTTATGTATTCTCAGTCTGTTTCTGTTTGGACTTTGTTTTTTAAACTTACTTCCTTAGCTATGTTATAATAATAAAAGGTATTTTCGATTTATAACCTTCACAAACAACAAAACACTATTTTTAACACTAAAAATGTGTATTTACTTTATTTTATTTTAATACGTTTTAAACCGCTCGTTTTATTTGTTTTAGAAATTAATTATAGTTTCAGTTATCATTTCACTAATCTGTTCTTATATATACAACACTTAATCAATTCTATAAATATTTAATGCTATATTGATTAAAGAGGCGGGCTTTAGTATTTTCTCAAACATTTTCTGCAGGTTTGGAGACTAATAATGCAGGATCGTTACAGCTGACATGTCGGTCATCTGTGGTGATCTATCATTCTTAGAGTCATACCTTAAGGCTAAAACAGATCAAAGCTTAAATTGTGACTTTGATATGTTTCACCCTTTAGTTATACTTTGTTTAGTTGTTTTTTATGTCTTTTTCTTCTAACTAAATTGTTTATGCGTTTGTAGTTTATCGTGGATGTTTTACGTACATTGATATTAATGGTTTAAAATTCAACTAAATTTTCAACTAATTTGAAGCATAATAATAATTGTTGGCTTGGTTGGAATAGTTTGCTGCACCATATTGAGGATCAGGTTCAATATATTTAATATATGATGATTTGTAACAAAATGTTCAATGTAAACAACATATACAAGTCAAATAATGACTACACTGTCTCCTAACTGTGTTTTAAAATATTTAACATGTTTTTATACACCTTTTACTGATAACCGGTTAATTGACAAATAACATATATGTAAGTATGTATTTCAAAATAAAATGTCTCTAGTTTCCTTATTAACACTTAAAAATCCCCAATCGGTGTAGTGCACTAGAACTTCCATTAGCCAATTTATAAATTTTGCTAATTTTATTTATTTTTTATCCTCCAAAGAAGGACTTTTATGTTTATATGGACCATTTACATGCAGGAATGTTCTTGGTTAGATAACCTCTTAATATAAATTTTATAAGTATATTAAATCGTTATAGTTTAGTTTTGCCAATTTTGCTTATGCATTTATTGTCTTTAACGTATACCTCGAAATAAATGTAGCACTATTTTTGTTTTAATCTCAGAGTATAATTAGCAATAAAAACACTTCTCCTTAAAATAAATCTCAAACTGTTGCTTTGAGAGCAGCACACATTTGTATCTATAAAACCCTACGAACGAGTTTATTTTCGCACCTACATAAACCTACTGAATGAACATTGTATAATGTTTACATTTTAAGAATTGGCGGTAGGGATTCTCTTTGAGAGTGTAAAACATCTCTCTCGCCTATTGTTATGTGCAAAATGGTTTTTATATTCTCTGTGAAGTTTCTTCATAAAGGAAGATAAATGAATAAAGCTGAGATGATATGACTGCCACACTGACTGATAATTTTCATTTAAGAAATGAATCTATTTGTGTCAATCATACAATCCAAGACCTAATTGCGTTATTGGTTCGGTTCGTTGCAAAATAGATTTGTGGTTTTTGTATATAAAAAACGAGATATGTTTTACACTTAGTATAATATTTATAACAATAAAATCAACTAACAATATATTATTTACACACATATATAATAATTATAATATTTATAAATTCATATAATAAACCTTAGATTGTTGGGTTTAGAATTAATATTTAATTATATAAGTTTTTTGTAAATTTCTATAAATCGTTTTTGGATTTCGTTTTTGTTGTAAAGTATCCAAATATTTTTCTTTATAAATTTTTTTTTATTTGGCAGTGTTTTGCAGTGGTTATGCAGAGAAAATAAAATAAAGTAATGAATATAAAAATGTATAAAAATTATGAATATTAATACTATTTAAAATTAAAGTTAAAAAACGAATAGATATATAAATACAAATAATACAATAACAAATTTCGTTTCAAATAAAATTGATTTATTAAATAATAAATAAAAATATAAATTTTCATGATTGACATACCTATATTTTATATATGATAAATCGTATGAAGTTTAAAAAAGACTTAGCTATGTGGAGTTGATGTGTTGCCTGGCTACATTAATATGTTGTCCAATTTGTCAATCATGGAAATCGGTCATGTACCATAACAGAACGTTTTCACACAAATTTTTATTCGGATTTACTGCGTTAATCACAATAAATTTGACAATGGAAAATATATATTAAATTTATTGTGATTGGTTTTATTGACCA